CCCCCGCGCGGCGCGACAGACGGTGATCGAGTGCCTCAAGATGGCGACGACCGGGGAGCTCCCGCCCAGCGCGCGCGCGGGGCAGGCGTTCATCCACGACCCGAAAGTCGCGGACGTCACGGAGGTCAAGGCGCAGATCAAGCTGCGATTTCGAGACGTGCGGAAGCAGCCGTGCGTGGTGACGCGTTCGTTTCAGCTCACGCAGGTTAGTTCGAGCTCTGTACACTGGTCCCCATACGACCGCGTCCACGTGGTGAACGTCTCTCGCGGCGGCGCGTGGCGCACGGTCCCTCGCTCTTTTATTTCGTCCTCTCTTCGCTCCGACGCCGACGGACCGCCGACTGACCGCCGTGCGCGTCCTCTACTCTCTCTCTCTCTCTCTCTGCGGCGTCGCGTCGCGTCGATCTCTCGCGACCAGAAATCCGGAGGCAAACTCGAGAAGAAAGATTTGGACCAGGTGATCCAAACCCTGGACGAGAAGACGGGCGAGAAAGTCAGCGTCAGCAGGAAGTGCGCGGACATCAACGCGACGGTGCCGGACATGATGGGCGTCTCGAAAGCCATCTTAGAGAACGTCGTGTTCGTGCATCAAGAGGACAGCAACTGGCCGCTGGGAGAGGCGGCGACGCTGAAGAAGAAGTTTGACGAAATTTTCAGCGCCACGAAATACACGAAAGCGTTGGAGCACATCAACAAGCTGCGCAAGGAGCAGAGCGCGACGATCAAGGAGTACAAGCTCAAGGTAGAAACGTTGCGCGTGCAGTGCGACCACGCGACGAAGCTGAAGCAGCGATTGGACGAGAACGCGGGAAAGGCGACGCGATTGGGCGAACGCATGCGAACGCTGCAAGAAAAGATTGACCGCGCGAACGAGGCGTTGAAAGCGCGACACGACGACCTGAGCTTGATTCGGAAGATCGCGGAGAAGAAGGCGCTGCTCGAGGCGAAGCGCGACGTCGTCGTCGCGGAGTGCGCGCGCCGCGGCGCGAGCTTGAAGAACGAGCTGACGGACACGCTCGAAAACTTGCAGTCGCACCGCGACGCGTTCGGCGCGAAAACCGCCGAGCTCCGCGCCGAGCTCGAACGCCACGACGCGAAGTGCGCGTCGCTCGCCGCGTGCGCGCGAGAACTCCGCGAGAAGCGCGAGCGCGATCTGCGCGCGCACGGCAAGCTCACCGCGGAGGCGGAGGCGCACGGAAAGCGTCTCAGCGCGCGCGCGTCTCAGGCGCGTTCTGCGCGAACGTTTTTCACCAGCCGCTTCGCTCGGTTTCAACGCTCGATCGATCGCTCGGTTTCAACGCTCGATCGATCGCTCGGTTTCAACGCTCGATCGATCGCGCGGGTCCCCCCCTTTCGACTGACCGATACGCGTGTTTCGTGTGCTTGAACGACCCTCAGCTCGCCGCGCTCGTCGCCGCGTACCCGGACGATATCGGGCCGACGCCGCCGGCGCTCGCCGCCGCCGCCGCCGCGGGCGCGGGCGCGGGCGAGCTCCGCGACGCCCCGGAGGCGATCGCCGCGCACGCCACCGTGTGCGCGCGGGCGCGCGACCTCCTCGATCGGCTCGCGCGCGCCGCGGACGAGCTGCGCGCGAAGCACCGCGCGGAGGACGACGCTGCCGCGCGCGAGATGGACGAGGTCTCCGGGAAGCTCGCCGCCGCGGGGGAGTCGGCCAAGGCGCGCGAGGAGCGACGGCGCGCGTGCCGGCGCAGAGCTGACGACGCCGCGGCTGAGATGTCCTCGTTCGCGGTGTCCGACGACGCGATTGAGGACCTGAGACGACGCGTCGACGACGCGGAAAAGCTGTTCGACGAGAGGAGAAACGCGAACGCGGCGTCGCGCGTCGCGATGGAGCTCGAACAGGCGCGACCGAGACCGCTTCCCGCGCGCGCGACGCCGTTCGCGCGTCGTTCGCTTCTCGAGGGCTCTCTGTTTCTATTTCAATTTCTCTCCCTCGCGTCGTCGGTCGTCTCGTCTCTCTTCCCCGGCGCCGCGCGTCGTCCCTCTCGACGTCCGTCGCGGTATTCCACCCGCCGGCGACCGGCGAGACGTTTCGCCGACCGACCGACGCGTTCGCCCCCGCCCCCTCCGCCCGCCTCCGCGGTTTCGCAGAAAAAAGAAGCGATCGAGGCGGCGGAGAAGACTCTGAGTCGCCTCCGCGCGGAGCAAGACCGCGCCGCGGCCGCGGGCGAGTCCGCGCTGAAGACGCGACTGAAGCGCGAGGAATTATTCTCCAAGGAGGAGTCCATGCGATCGCTGTTGGCGTCGACGAGAGAGCGCTTCGCGGACGTCTTCGACGGAGACGCGCGCGTTCCGGCGCCGGAAAACGTAAAGATGGAACTCAAACGCGTCGTGGACGCGCGCGCGCTCGCGGTGGAGACGGCGCGCGAGACGGCGTCCGCCGCGTCAAACGCCGCGAGCGCGGCGGCGTGCGCGCTCGAGACCGCGGCGGCGAACGAGCGGCGACTCGCCCGAGAGGCGAAAGACGCGGAGGAGAAGGCGGAGGCGGAGGGGGACGTTCTCCCGGCGCCGGCGACGCCGGCGACGGGAAACGGCGAGCGCGCGTCGGCTTCTTCTCGGCTGGACGCGTACGCGACCGCGGTGAAGGATAACGACGCCGCGCTGTCGAAAGCGGAGGAGGACCTCACGGTTTTGAAAAACCTCGCGAAGGTGTTCCAGTCGTTCTCCGCCGCCGCGGGCTCGACGTCGTGCTGCCCGTTGTGCTCGGCGAAGTTTGAAGACGCGCGAAAGCTCGAGACGTTCCGGGCGATGATCGAGTCCAAGGTGGCGTCCATTCCCGAACAGACCGCATCCGGGCGGGCGGCCGTCGAGGCGTCGCGCGAGCGGCGCGCGAAGCTTCAGGCGCTCGCCCCGCTGGTCTCCGCGTACGAGCGCGTCACGCGGACGGCGCTGCCGGACGCGAGACGCGCGTTGTCGGACGCGACCGCGGCGGACGCGGTCGCGAAACGAGCGGCGTCGGACGCGTCGAACGCGATGGAGACGGCGCGCGAGTCGCACACGTCCGCGGTGGCGCTCGCGGAGGACGCGGACACCATCGCGCGGCTATCGCGCGAGGCGCGCGAGCTTCGCGGCGTCGTGGAGTCGCTCGAGCGCGCGTCCGGGGTGGCGTCGTCGCAGTTGCAATTCGTCGGAGGCACGCGGGGTGCGGGCGCGGCGGTCGGCGGCGCGACGCAGACGCAGGGGGGCGCGAACCCCGCGAGGGTCGTCAGGTGCGTTCTGTGCGATCGTTTTTCACCCGTCCCTCCCTCGGTTTCAACGTTCGATCGATCGCGTGGGTCCCTCCCTTTCGACTGACTGACCGACCGACCGGCGTACGGAACGGCCCTCAGCGCCATCGCCGCCGACGTCGAGGACGCGGAGGCGTCCAAAGCCGCGCTCGAGAAGGAGCGCGACGTCCTCCAGCGGAAGCTCTCCAGGACGGAGCAAGAGCTTCTCGCGATCGAGCGCGACGTCAGGGATCTGCGCGAGGAGCACGTGCGCGTCGGGTGCGTTCGGTTCAGTTCCATTCCGCGCGTTTCATTTTCGATTTCGTTATCGTTTCACGTCCGCCCCGCCCGCCGCTCGGTTTCGACGTTCGATCGATCGAGTCCCGTCCCCTACTCGCTGCTGACGGACCGACGCGCGTCGCGTTTAAACGCGTTTCGGAACGGCCCTCGCAGCGCGAAAGCGGACCGCAAGGCGTCGCTCAAGCGCGAGATCGAGGACTTGGAGCGCGAGGCGAGAGAGCTCGACGCGGAGGAAGCGCGCGTCGCCGCGGAGCGCGCGCCGACGGAGCGCAGGCGCGACGCGTTGGTCGCGGCGCGCGACGCCGCGAGGGCGACGGCGGCGGCGAGCGAACGCGACGCGGACGAGCGCGTCCGCACGTTGCAGCGGGACGTCGACGCGCTCGCCGCGGCGGACGCGCCGATAGACGAGTACGCGGACTCCGGGAAGGCCGCGGAGCTGACGCGGTGCAAGGAGGCCGCGGACGCCGCGGAGGCGAAGATGAAGGCGTTCGAGAAGGAGCTCGCGACGGAGACGGCGAGCGCGAAGATCAAGAGAGAGACGATCGAGTCGAAGGCGTCCATCGCGAGGGACTTGGACGATAACATCGCGTACTTGAAAGGTAAGGAGGAGGAGGCGAAGTTAACGTCTGAGATTGATGCGTTACGCGCGAAGATCCAAGCCCTCGGCGTGGACGTGAACGCCGTCGAGTTGACGTTTCGCGCCGACCAGAAATCCCGCGACGAACTCAGAGAGGCGTACGCGGAGTCGCAAGGAAGAGTCACGACGCACCAAGAAGCGATCGACGCGTGCAAGAAAGAGCTGAACGACCCGCAGTACAAGGGCGTTCGAAAGCGTCTCTCGAAGCACGTCGTCGAGCTGAAAACGTACGAGTACGTCTCTCAGGACCTGGAGCGATACCACTCCGCGCTCGACCGCGCGCTCATGGCGTTTCACGCGTCGAAAATGTCCGACATCAACAAGGTCGTGAAAGAGCTCTGGCAGCGCACGTATCGCGGACAGGACATCGACTTCATCCAGATTCGCTCGGACGACGACACCGGGAACAAAGGACGGAGCTCGTACAACTACCGCGTCGTGATGATCGTCGGCGACGCCGAGCTCGAGATGCGCGGGAGGTGCTCCGCGGGGCAGAAAGTCTTAGCGTGCCTGATCATCCGTCTCGCGCTCGCGGAGACGTTTTGTCTCAACTGCGGCATACTCGCTCTGGACGAGCCGACGACAAACTTGGACGCGCCCAACGCGGACGCGCTCGCGCGGTCGTTGATCGACATCATGCGCTCGCGCGAGGACCAGGAAAACTTTCAACTCATCGTCATCACGCACGACATGCACTTCGCGCAGGTGCTCGGACAACGCGAGCACGCGGATTACTACTGGAGGATCACGAAGGACGACGACCAACACTCGCACATCGAGTGCGAGAACATCTACGAGTGAGACGGCGACGGCGGCTGCGACGACGGCGGCGACGGCGGAGACGACGGCGGCGACGGCGACGGCGACGGCGACGCGAACGCTAACGCGAGAGGAAGAGACGAGCGAAGAAGGACGAGAGTGAGGAACAGAACAGGACGGGACGCGCGCGTGAAACGAAATGAAACGAAGCGACACGAAACGACGCGTCCTCTCGACGCGACTTCCCCGCGCGACACTTTCCTACGGCGGCTCAGCTACCTACGACACCACGCACGCTTGACAGAGCCGGTTCTTCTCCTCCTCCGCGTCGTCGCCTATGATCCGCCCTTTCTTGTCGTAGTCGATGTCCAACTCGACTTGGTACCGCGTCGTGCTTAAGTATAATTCGAACCTCGTGAGCTCGTGCTCGAGAAGATTCAGGAAGCTCTCCTCGAGCTCCTCCGGGTGCAGCAGCGTCGTCGTCTGCGCCAAGCTCCCGCTCCGGTGCAGCCGTTTCGATGACGCGTTCAGCGCCAACGTGGACCTGTGATGTGATAGATCGAGGAAAGACACGAGTCAGTCACGCGTGCATGCTATCGGTGGTTATCGTTCCCGCGTGTCAAAACGCGAGGTTCATAGCGCGCGAAAGAACTCGCCTCGGGTCGTTGGCCACCGGGGTGAGTTTTTTTTTCAACTCCGCCTCGCCCCCGCGGCGAAACGGGCTCGGTGGCGGCTTCTCGTTGTTCTTCTTCGCCGCCGCGAGCTTCTTCCCGAACTCCTCGATCAGCTCCTCTCGCAGCATCGCCGTCGGCTTCCCCACTCTCCAGTGCATGACGTCTCGTATCGCTTGTCCTCGTCTTTTTATCCGCGAAAAAAACGTCATCCTTCGCCGAATCACGTCCAGGACGTCGTCGCCGTAGAATTGAACCTCTCGGCAATCGCACACGAACGGGTGCCCCGCCTTCTTGAGCGTGCGGTGCTCCACGGGGCGATACTCTGGCGAGATCGCGACCGGTTTCGGCTTGGTCGTCCGCTTCAGTTTCAGCTTCTTAACCTCCTTGGTGCCGATCACGCTCGCCGCCTCGGAGCCGTTCCACGCGAAGCGACGTCGGGGCGGGAGTCGAAAGGCGTCAGTCGAAGTCGAAAGGCGTCGCCCGAGACGTGTCGGGACTGAAACCGTGGCGCGATCGGAGAGACGCGACGGGAAAAGTCCGTCCTCAAGAAACAGCCTTCACCGCGCGAACGCGGTCGTACGGGGACCGGCGCGGGAATAGAACGCACCTCGGCGCGCCTTCTCAGGTCGGCGACGGTCATGAGTCGGACGCACGAGCTCCCGATCCGCTCCCCGTCTCGATACAGCTCGAGCATCTTCAGCAGCACTCGGAGCGAGTGCGCCATGACGGCGTAGTGCGATACCGTCGGCCAGATGGGCGCCGCGGGCGAGTACCCCCACACGTTTTGTCGACGCTCCTCCAGGTATCCCGTCTCCCACCACGGCGCGGATCCGAGCTCGGTGTCCTCTCCGTACTCGCTGGGGACGCCGCCGCCGCCGCCGCCGGACGCCTCGGAGAAGTTCTCGTCCTCGAACGCCTTCCACTTTTCCATCTCGGACTCGGAGAGGAAGTTCATCGCCGGCTTCTTCGGGCCCGGGGACGCCGCGCCGTCGAAGATGGCGTCGAGCACCTCCTCGTCCGACGACGACGACGACGACGACGCGTCCGCTCCCTTCGGTTTCTCGCCGCGTATGCCGTCCAGGGCTTGGAACTCGTCGTCGCCGGCTTCTTTGCGGCGGCGGCGAGGCGCGATCACCGCGTTCGGCGGCGGCGGCGGCGGCGGCGCGCGCGCGGCGTCGGCGTCGGCGTCGGGGGATCCCCCGCCGTCTTCGCCGCGTCTCGGACTCGACTGCTTCTTCTTCTCTCGCGTCCCCGGTCGCGGGCCGTCCAGCGGCGGCGGGGCGCTCGTCGTCTCATTGCGACGGAACGCCATCGCGACGCGCGCGGCGGAAGCGTTCGCTCGTCCGCGGCGCGCGCGCGCGGCGCGAACTCGCGGACGTTCCAAACTGAACGATTTATTCGACGTCAACAGCACTCGTCGAACGCGTCGCGTCGGACGGGACGACGCGACGACGGCCGCGCGCGTCGTCAGTGCGCGACGCGCTCTCCGCGCGCGCGATGCCGCCGCGCCCAGCCCCGCCGTCGCTCCCGCCCGCGATCCCTTCCAGCGACCCCAGAGGCCGCGACGAGTTCAGCGGCGCGGTGGACGTGCTCAAGCTCCGCGGCCTTCGCGCGGCGCGCGATCACTTCGCGCGCGTCGGACGCGGCGACGACGCGCTCGCGATCGCGGACGCGCTGCCGAGCCTTCGCGGGACCTCGTTCGAGCTCAGGCGCGGGCGCGCGATGGAGCTCGCGCCGTTGTTGCGGGTCCGTCCCCGTCCCGCGCGCGTCCGCGTCCCCGTCCGCGTCCCCGTCCCCGTCCCCGTCCCCGTCCCCGTCCCCGTCCGCGCGTCGTCGCCGTCGTTCGCGTCCCGACTCGCGCGTTCGTTCGTTCGTCCAACCGTTCACTCGTTCGTTCGCCCCCGCCCCCGCGCGCCGCGCGCTCCCGCCCCGCCCGCGCTCTCCCCCGCAGGCGCCGCTTCCGAACGACCTCGACGCGCAGCTCCCGGTCATCGACCGCGACCGCGCGCGGAGGGCGTTCGGTGGGCTGAGGAACGCCCCGCGCGTGTCGTCGCTCGCGGAGGAAGACCTCGGGATGCGGTGCGCCGTCGCGGAAGACGCGGCGCGACGCGCGGCGAGAGCGGTGAGACTGCTTCCCATACGACCCCGCACGCGCGCTGAACGCCGTCGTTTCTGAAGGATTTTTCCCGGCGCCATGCCTCGCGCGCCCGCGCTTCCCTCACAACGTCCGTCTTGTTTGACCGGCGAGACGCGCGACTGACCGACGCGTTCGCCCGTCGCGAACGATCGCTTCGCCCGCGCAGGCGGCGGCGACGGCGGCGACGGAACCCGCCGCGGCCGCGACGACCGAGGCGCCGGCCGACGCGGAAAACCACGACCGGGAGCGACGGAGGCGTGAGAAACGCGAGCGGAAGGAGAAGAAGACGGATCGGAAGGACCGGAAGCGCGCGAGAAGAGCGGCGGCGGAGGGCGGCGGGGGGGGACCCGCGGACAGCGGGCTCACGGGCGGAGTCAGCGGTCTCACGGGAGTCACTCGAGAGACGACGACGGGAAGCGACGGCGACGGCGACGGGCCAGGGGAAAGCGGCGTGACCGCGCTCGCGAGCGGGTGACGCGTTTGCGATGTGACGTGTTGTGATGTGATGCCAACGTGCGGTAACGATCGATCGCGTCGTATTCATCAGAGGCGGCGGCGGCGGCGGCGGCGGCTTCGGCGGCTTCTTTTGGTTTTTTTTTTTGGTTTTTTCGGTCCTCTCTCGGTCTTCTTGTCCCTTCCCTCCTCCTCGTCGAGCCGTCGCGCCCGCGAGGGTCACATGACGACGCACTTCCCCCCCGCGGGGACGCACCGTCGCTTCGTCTCCTCCATCGCCGCCTTGGCGTCCTCGGCGTCGACCTTACCGTCCTTGTTCACGTCGAGGGCGTCCCTCGTCGCTTCCGCGCCCTGCGAGAGGTTCGGTCGGTCGGGGGGAGGGTGAGGGAGGGCGGCGCGCGCCTCTCTCGGAATGCTCGACGAGCGCAGCCTAGGGTTTTCTCCTCCTCTCTCCGCCCTCCCCGCGGAGGAGGCCGGAGGAGGGGCGCGCACCTTCTCGAGCGCGCCGCCGACCGCGCGCGCGGCGGTGGAGAGCGCGTCGCCGACGCCGCCGGCGAAGCCGCCGGCGACGTCCTTCGTCTTCGTCTTCGCCGCGGTCGCGGCGTCGCCGACCGAGCGGCCGACGGCCTCCACCTCCTCCGTGACCGCGCCCGCGACGCCGGACGTCGCCGTCGCCGCGCCCGCGGTCGCGGTCGCGACCGCGTCGGACGCGGTCGTCGTCTCCTTCGTCGATTTTTTGCCGCGTCCGAACGCCATGTCGAGGGAGTCGTCGAGGGCGTCGCCGTCGCCGCGCGCGCGGAGAACGAGTGCGCGGGGTCTCCGCGGTCGAAGAGACGCCGGAGCCGTCTCCTCGGACGCGGACGTAGCTTGCGTACTGTAGGCCCTACGTGTCTGGTTGAGTACTCGTATGAGTACGAGTAGGCTCGTTCAAGAAAGCCTGTTATCCTATCTTGTACCTTCGGTACGAAAGTACGAAAGTACGAAAGTACTTTCGTACTTTCGTACGAAAGTACTTTCGTACGAAAGTACTTTCGTACCTTCGAAGGTACACGTAGAGGCTCACATGGGTTCCATGAATCCCGTCGTGGGGTTGCTTACTACGTGAGAGGATTGTTCGTAGTGCGGTCTGCTCGCTTCTAGATCACATGTTTTACCCGGATGGGTTAGAGCTCAGTCTTTTTGTAATCAGATCTACACAGTGCTCTGACGTGCACACGAAAGCGAAAGCGCCGAAGAGATGGGTAGGCGAGTGACAGTGGATGGAGATATAAGGGCGTACCAGGGACTAGGTATTCGGGGGAAGGGGTGGGATACTCATTGTCTCATTCCCTAACGCTCGCGACTACGTTCTCGCGAACGCGTCTTCGGACTCCTCTCGCTCTCGCGTCGTCGCCGCGTCGCGTCCGCTCTCGCGCGCGAAATCGCCGCCGACGGCGACTCCCCCCGCGCCGCCGCCGCCGCCGCCGCCCCCGCGCGCCCCGCGTCTCCCTCCCCGCGCCTTCTCCTCCTCCGACGCGCCTCCTCTTCCCCGACGATCCCCCCCACCTCCGAGACTCCCCGCGTCGCCGCCGCGAGCGTCCTCCAACCGGCGACGACGCGCGTCAACCTCCGTCTCGCGTCGGCGTCGGCGTCTGAGGGCCGTTCTATACGAGCGAACGTCGGGGTGGAGTTGAAAGGCGTCAGTTGGCGTTGAAAGGCGCCGAGGGCGGGGATTGAAAGCGAGGGACCCTGGGCGGAGAGAAACCACGGCAAAAGTCCTTAAGGATCGGCGTTCACAACGCCGACGCGGTCGTATGGGGACCAGTGTATAGAACGCACCTGAATCTCCCCCCTCCTCCTCCTCGCTCGCCGCGCGCGTCCCCCTCTCCCTCTCCCTCTCCCTCAGCGCGTCCTCGACCGCGCGCGACGCGATCGTCTCGCGCGCGTCGTACAGCGCGTCCTCCAGGAACGTCTCGCGCTCTCGCGCCGCGTCCGACGCGCGCCTCAGCGACGCGGCTTCTACCCGCGCGTCGCTGAGGGCAATTCCATACAAAAACAGTTCACCGGTCAGTTGATAGGGACCCACGCGATCAAATGCTGAAACCGGACAACGGGTGAAAAACTTTTGTATAGAACGCACCTGAGGCGCGCCTCGAGCGTCTCCACGCGTCGGAGCAGCCACGCGCGATCGGTCGCCTCCGTCTCCGCCTCCGTCTCGTCGTCGCGCGCGCGCGCGGGCCCCGCGGCGAGGCCGCGCGCGGCGTCGACGGCGCGGACGCGCGCGGAGACGACCGCGGCGGCGGAGACGTCGCGCAGGCGTCTTCGCAGCGACGACGTCAGCGCTTCGAGGGACGCGATCGCGCGTCGGTCGTCGTCGAGGCGCGTCGGCGTCGGCGTCGCGGACGCGGACGCGGACGCGGACGCGGACGCGGACGCCTTCGGCGTGGAATACGGCGTCGCGAACGCGTCGTCGTCGTCGTCGTCCGACGCGTCGTCGTCGTCGTCGGCGCGATCGAGGCGGTGGACGCGCGGCGACGCGCCCGAGCGTCTCGCGGCGACGAGGTCGCGAAGCGCCGATCGCTGCCTCGCGACCACCTCGCGCAGTCGACTCGCCTCCGCGGCCTCGGCGCGCAGCCACGCGAGCGCGGACTCCTCCCTGTTCGCTCGCGCGCGAGACGCGTCCGCGGACGACGTCATGACGCGACGCGCCGCGCGCGTCCGACGAGTCGTCGTTCGGCGCGCGAGGACGACGACTGTCGCGCGACGACCACGGCGCTTTTGAACACTTCATCAGATATCAGAAGACTGATGCTGACTGGATACTGGATGCTGGTGCTCTTTGAATTTTACAGTCGACGGCCGTTTCTGCAGGGAGTCGGTACATGTACGGCGTAGTACGTTTTGTATGAGAAATAGTCAGAAAATCGCGGTGGTACCATCCTTTCCCACGGGCGTACTTTCGAAAGTACTCTTTTTTCCGTTGGGTTCCTATGGTAATATGGGATCCAACCTAATTCGACTCGCGCGTGGGTTGGGCTCTCGGGGCATGGAAAACGGATTCCAAAGCAATGGCGCGGTCGTCTGTGACGGGGGACGACCTCCCGCGATGCAAGATCAGGCTGTGAACCCACGAGGCGCTATAAGTCGGGTGTCGCGTCCACGCCATTCCTTGGATTCGGCACCTGAAAATAGCTCGCACGAGCTTTTCACGCCTCCTGTCCAACCCCGAACGCGACGGACTCGAGAGGAGGTATACGGGAGCGTTCCGACGCGGAGTTTGCCGCGCAGGCGTGCCGCAGAGGTACTCCGTCCCGACCCGACGCCGATGCCCATCACGCAAGGGCGGCGCCTTCGTTACGGTCCCACACATCTCACTGAGGCGGACAAGCTCATGTTCATCATGGCAGTTGAAGAAGGGGTGAGGCGAGGGGTACCGAAGGCGAAGACGACGGAGGCGTGGGGATTGAATAAAAACGCGTATTCTGTTTACAAGAAGCAATACGAGGACGGCGACCTCGAGCCTAAGAAGATCACCGGGCGGCCGCCGGAGTTCAACGAGGAAGTACGGAAGTACGTGTAACAAGTTACACATAGATACGTGTACACGTACTGTAGGGCCTACGGGTGCTGTACACGGACGTCAATAAAACACTCATCCTTACTGTATTTACAATCGTATGTACAATGTTTGTTCAGATTAACTTCTTGGGTTGGGCCGTCGCGCGCGCGCGCGCTCCGGTCTCGTTCTGTCTCGATTCATCGCTCGGCGCCCCCGTCGAACGGATTCGCGCCGCCGAACCGATTTTTTTTGCCCCCCGCCCGGGTCGGCGTCGGCGACGACGGCGGGGACAGCGCGACCGTCTCGCCGCTCGGCGCGAGGGGCGGCAGGCCGCCGCCGTACTCGCGCGGCGGCGGCGGCGGCGGTAACTCGGGCGACTCAGACCGCGGCGCGTGCGCGTGCGGCGCGCGGTTGGACGCCAAGGCGGCCGTCACCGCGTCGGCGACGGTTCTCGCGAACTCGGCGCGTTCGCATTCTCGTTCATCGATCATGCGCCCGAAGGGGTTCCGCACGTCCACGGCCACCGCGGGCGGCGGCGGCAGCGGCGGCGGCTTCGGCTTTTCTGGCGCGCTCGGGCGCGTGATCTCCACGACGCTCGCCGACGTCGGGTCGGCGAACGCGAGGTTCCGCAGCCGCTCGTACCGCCGCCGGTGCGTGAAGCGTCGGTCGCAGAGGTAACACGCCCACGTGCAGAGCATCAGGGCGAAGAGCACGGAGACGAGGATGAGGAGCTGCGTCGCGGTGACGACGTCGGAGGATCCGTCGTCGTCCGTCGATCCGAAGCGTTCGTTCACTCCAAAGGTGCACGCCTTGTTGGCCGCGTTCCACCCCGCGGTGTAGTTACACGTGCGGTGACCGTAGGTCTTCGAGAGGTCGAGGGTGAAAAAGTCGCGCGAGTCTTTGCGACCGAACCCGCGCATGGAGTGATACCCTTTGAGGAAGGTGTCGTCGTGCACGGCCCACATCATCTCGTTTTCGCCGCCGAAGTTCAGCGGCACGCAAACTTTCGTGGGCGCGCCGAAGACGACCGCCGTGTGGCACAACTTCGTCGTGGTGAAATCCATGTAGCTGTGACAGCTCGTGACCGTCATCGCGCTCGCGTAGTCGACGGCAGCTCCGGTGCCGTACCAGTGTCGAAACGCGGAACCGGTGGCGTGAATGTGGTACCCCTTGACGCCGGTGCCGACGACGGGCGATCCGAAGACGTTCGGGTCGTTCGCGTCGGCGTACGGATCGTTGACGCCCATGATGACCGGAGCGTCGTTCATGCCGTTGTGCTCCGCCGCCGGGTTTTTGCTCTTCAAGCCGACGGCGAGATATCCGACGACGCCATTGAAGGCCATTCGAGCTCGCCACCTTCCCGAGGGAAGCACGTCCCACATCAGATAGAGTTTATCTCTGACGAGCTCGAGGCTGTTCGCGTAGGACGGGACGTCGACGGCGTCGTAGAAGCTCGACTCCGTGCACCGCGCGGTCGCGGGGATCTTCGGAGGGTCCGTGATCGGCTTCGTCGTGTTGTTGTTCGCCGTGGAGACGCACTCGGGGTAAAAGTCGCCGTGGCCGTTGGCATCGGTCCATATTTGGCCGCGCGTGTTGACGCACTGCTCGTGTTGGCCGGAGGCGCACGTCAGCGCCGACGTGGACATGCACCGCATCCAGCAGTAAATTTCGTTCGCCGCGCACGCGGCGGCCAAGAGCTTACGTCCGCCGCCGCCGCCGCCGCCGCCGCCGCCGCCGCCGCACGCGACCGACATCGCGCCGGAACGCGCGTCGGCGACGAGCGCGTCGCGGAGCTCGCCGAAAGACACGCCGCGCGCCTCGTCCATCAGGGCGTCTCGAGGAGGCAAGAACATGCGACCGTACCAGAAGCGCGATCGACCGTCGCCGAGCGCGGGCATCGTCACGGCGTGCGGCACCGCTCGCAACCCGGACTCGAGTTTTTCTCCAATCTGGTGCTCCATCATGTCGCCGAGCGCGACGATCACGACGTCGTCGTCGAGGTTCTCGTGGTCGAGACGCACGCGGCGTCCGTTCGGGGGCAGGGACATCTCGAACTCTCCGGGAGAGCTCTCGGCGTCGACCGTCCCGGGGGCGTCGTCGCCGCGTCCGTCCGAGACGACGACGGCCGGCGTGAAGGCGATGAACAGACCGTGATCGGTGTGCAACTCGATCGTCTTCTTCTTCGTCGTCGCTTCTTCTTCGGACGCGGACGCGCGCGAGGAGGGAGACGAGCGATAGGCGTGAAAGTGTTCGAGGTGCGTCCCTCCGTCGAGGATGTCGCCCACGGACGCATACTTCGACGCGCCGCCGTCGCCGTCGCCGTCGCCGTCGCGCCCTCCCGCCGCGGCCGAGGTCGACGCGGCGCGCAGCATGACGGCGTCCCGGCCGTCGATGAGCTTCGCGAAATCGCCGACGCTCATCGCTCGCGCGACGAGCGCGGCGGCGACGGAGACGAGCGATCGAAGTTCGCTCGACACCGCCTCGAATCGCGCGCAGACGTCGACCGCGCCGTGGTCGATCTTCTCGCCGACGACGCCGGCGGCGGCGCCGCGCGTCGTCGTCGCGAGCGTGTGCCGATCGGCGCCGTCTTCGTACGTCTCGACCTGCGCGTTCGGAGACGCCGCGACGCACGGCGCGAACAACGCCGCCGCGCGCTTTTTCGCGTCTCCGAGCCCCGGGACGAGCACGCCGGCGACGCCGTCGCGCGCGAGCGCGCGCGAGAGCGCGCGCTCGCGGCGGCGACGATCGCCGTCCGCGTCGTCGTCCGCGGCGGCGCTCGCGGTCACCGTCGTCGGCGTCCACGCCGGGACGTCGTCGCCGATCGCGTCGATCGGCGGCGGCGGCGGCGGCGCGCGCGGCCGTCGCGGGGGCTCGACCGCCGCGGAGGCGGAGGCGGCCGCGGCGGCGGCGGGCGTCGCCGCGCACGCCGCGAGGATCGCGACGCAGCACGCGGCGATCGTCGCCCTCCGGGGAGCGCCCGCCGCGGATCCTCGTCCTCGCCCGCGCGCGGGGGGAGACGCGTGGGCGGGCATGGCGCGAGGGTAATTCATGCTTTTGATCGACCGAGATAAAATTGGATAAAATTGCGATCTGCATCTGGATTTCCGGTTCGGCGCCTAGCTACGTGTAGGTCGACGTGTACGTGTACAGCTGTACACGTGTAGGGCTGTGTACATACACATAACTTTTACCTGACTGTACGCCCAGTACTTCTGTCGTGTACACGTACAGTACTGTACGTGTACTGGAAGAAGGCTGGCTGGGACGACACGAAGAAGGTGCTCGACGAGGGGTTGGCGGCGACGAAACGCGAGGTGGTGGCAACAAACAATGTTAGAATGTTATTGAAGCTTCAAGTAAAATATAATATGGTGTCAATATAATATGGTGTCTCGACGGCTCGAGGTGTCGGCCGGAGGAACTGTCGCTCGACATCATGACCATTCCTTCCATCGGCAGAGCCTCTTCCCGTGATATGTACAGGTTGACTGATAGACTGACAGATAGCGGTAACACGTTCTCTCGTGAATTCAGCAAACTTCTTCGCTCTCACGTTTACTTCCTCGGCGGCGGTCGACCGGCAGTCGTGTCTTCTTCGTCGCCTCGGCAACAAAACACGCGAGTGACGAACGGAACGATCTGGAGTATGACCATCAAGAACAGCGAAACGATACCAAAAGACAACGACATCGCCTGGAGGACCGTGTACGATCGTTCGCGTTCGCATCGGTACGGAAAGTTCTCCCGCGTCCAGCCGCACATCCCGGACTCGCCGAGCTGAATGTACATCTCGGTGAATGCGGTGATGACGTCCGACTCGCATTTACTGGCCGCGTTGGTGTAGATGACGTGAATCCCGGCGTCGTCCTTCTTCTGCGACGCGATAACCGCGTTGGCGCACGCGCCGGCGAAAGTGGCCTTCGCGCTGGTGTACTTCGCGTCGAACGCGGCGTCCGTGTTGTTCGACGTCGGCGTGTCGGTCCAGTACTTGAACGGTTTAAGCGGGTACAGTTGGGTGGCTTCTTTGCCCCACGGGCGGAAGTGCACGCGCTGAGGGGCGTTCCATGCGAAGCGACGTCGGGGTGGAGTTCAGGGGCGCGTCAGATGGAGTTGAAAGGCGTCGAGGCGCGTCGGGATTGAAACCGAGGGGCGGCGGGCGGAGAGAAACGCGCGCAGGCAAAAGTCCCTAAGGAACGGCGTGCACCGCGCGAACGCAGTCGTACGGAGACCAGTGCAAGGAGAACGCACCGCATACGCGTTGTTGCTCTCGTACTTCCCCGCGTTGTTGTAATTATCGGGGGCGTCGCCGGTGATCGACGCGGCGGAAGACGTCCACGACGCGGGGAGCACGGTGAAGTCGTCCAGTCCCGTGTTCGCGGTCGTCGGGACCTGCAATTTCGCGACGCACTCCTCGTACGTCCAGTCTTGCTCGTACCAGGAGATCTCCCTCTGCGCGGGGCGGCACGTGTACCCGGACTTTTGGTAGTTCGTGCTCTCGATGACGACTTCGGTCCACGTGAAGGTGAGGTAGTACCACATCATCACCGCGAAGACGACCTCGAGCGCGACGACGATGACGAAGAACATGCCCAAGATGAAACTGGGCGGCGCGATGAGGTCCATGACTTGCTCGACGTACATCTTCTCCGGAAGCGGAACGCGGCCTTGGTACGTCTTCTCCGGCGGCGGCGGGGGTTTCTCCGGCAACGTGCGCGCCGGCGCCGGCGTCCGTCGTTTGGACCGACTAGACTTGATGACGAGCGCCGCGGTGAAGCTCAAGACGACGAAGACGAGCTGCGCGAACGTGAACGAGAGCGACGCGCGCGTCATGACGTCCAAGGTTTCGTCCTTGACGCACTCGTACGGCGCGTTTTCTTTCGCCCACAGGCACACGTTGTCGCCGAGGTCGTCCGCGAGGAGCTTCCACACCTCGACCGCATTCGCCTTATTCGCGTCGGTCCACGAAAACGTTGCTCCGGCGGTCACCTCGAAGTACGAAATTCGCGCGCTCTGGCCGGCGCTGTTCACCAGCGAACGCGTCCCGTATTCCTGGCCACCGGTCGCCCAGTTTTCGATTCCCCACGAGTCGTACCCGTACGTCGTCGCGAGCGCGGGCTTCGTGTAGTTTTCCCACATCTTGCTCTCGACGCCCTCGGTCGTGTAGGCTTTAAACGGCTGCCACTTCGCGTCGAATCGCGTGTACGTGTTAGTTGCTCCGGTTCCAACGGGGCCCGTGTTTGTTTGGGATGTGAAATCGATCGTGCTCGTGCTCGGCGCTTGCACGTTCGCGAGACACGTGGCGTAGTCCCACGTGAGGCCGTAGCCCATGTCGTCTTGCGTCAGCGGCGTGCACGTGTACCCGGATTTTTCCCATTCCGAGGTGATGATCGTCTCTTTCAAGTTGTACTCGGACTGCGAGTACATCGCGAAAAATCCGGCAAATGTGCCGAGCGTCAAGACCGCGATGCAGATGGCGACGAAGGCGATGGTCGCGTCGCTCGAGATGAACTTGATCTCTTTCGGCTCGTCGTAGAATTCCGTCCAAAGCGGGAGCTTCTTCACCCAGTGGTCGAATTTACGCTTGTCCCTTAAAATGTAGGAGACGACGCCGATGAGGATCGTGAAGAGGAGCGCGGCGTTACCGTTGGCCAGGGATATGATCTGCACCCACGGCATCTGTTCGGTTTTCTCGCACGTGTACGGCAGGTTGCTGGCGGCGAAGTCGCACACGTCCCCGACGCCGTCGCCGTCCACGTCCGCGTACACGAAATTAATGATCTTGTTGAAGCAGTCCACCACGAGCTGCTTATCCGCCGCCGACGACGCGACGGTGGCGGAGCCGGCCTCGACGTATATGCCCTTGTCGTCGCTCGTGTAGTCGCTTCGCTCCGGGTCCAACGTGTGGCCCCCGCTCGCAGCGGTGCACGAGAGCGTGTCGAGCTCCGCTTTTCTCGCGTTCGGCTCCTTCGGCCACAAGAGTTCCTTGTACTGAGAGCCGCCGAACGGGTGAAAGTAGTATTTGGAGTTTTCAAAGACGAAGTTATCGAATGTCACCTCGCGCACGTACGCCGGGCACTCGGCCACGGTGTACCCGAGTCGATAGTAGGAGTCCGCGGCGACGGGTTTGCAGTCGTACCCGGAGATGCTCGTTCGACTGCCGACGATGACGTCCGTGACGTGTTGCGCGGAGAGCTGATAGTACCACATCGCCGCCGCGAACGCGATCAGGACGACGGCGTAGACGAACGAGGACGCCGTGGCGACGATTCCGACCCTGGCGATCGTGGGGATGGCGTCCGCGCGGTCGTAGAAGTACTCGGGGACGATCGGGTCGATGAGGCTGAAGAACATTCCGGAGAGACATCCGCGGCGACCATCTCTCGACGACATCGTCTCGCGACGCGTCGAGTTTGCGCGCAGAGGTCTCGCGCCGTCGTCGGGTGTTCCTCGCGCTTCCTCGCGAGTCGAGCTCTTTCGCCTCGTGACGTGCTGCTAGTTGGACGCGAGTGGCGGACGCGCGTGAGCGGCGATGCGGGAACTTGCGTTCGCGTGGCCACGATACGATCCGTGATCTACCCTACCCGGGTTGGTGTATACACGAGCGGCGGATGCGGGGAGCGGCGCGTTTGTTTGTCCGAGGGGTCTTAGGGCAACGACCTGGGTTCGTGCGTTATCTCCTTTTCGTGTGATTTTCTCAGATAAGTTAAGGTTACAGTACGCTTCGTACTTTCGTACGAAAGTACGAAAGTACTTTCGAAAGTACTTTCGTACTTTGTACTTTCGAAAGTACAAGTACTTTCGTACGTGGTAGGATACTCTACGGTTTACGCCTACACTACGTGTACACGTACTGTACGTGTAATCAGATACACACACTGTACGTGTACTGTAGGGCTACAGCTACAGTACGAGTACAATATCCATCTGATAAAGAATCTTTGAGGAAGGTAAATCTTTCGGATAGTCCCGTTCAGGGACGGAATTCCGTCCCTTTCCGGGCGAAAAACTGAGAATTTTCCCTATGGGCAATCAGTTGGAGTACGAGTAGTTTTCCGCTCCGTACTCATTTTTTGGTGATTTTCCGCCGATTTTCCGTCGAAAAACGGCGGAAATTCGGCACTTGTAACCAATTGCCCACAGGGAAAATTCTCAGTTTTTTCGCCGGAAAGGGACGGAATTCCGTCCCTGAACGAGACCTATCGGAGCGGGGCTGCGGAGGTGTCATTGTCGTGCTTCGCGAGAGCGAGAGCCGCGCGCGCGGACGCGGCCGCGGTGCGACCCGGGGCGATGCGGCGACCCGCGCTTCGCCCGGGCCCGCTGCTCGCGATCGTCCTGACCCTCGCGTCCGCGGCGACGCCGCGCGCGTCCGCGGCGAGCGCGTGCTCCGTCGCCGCCTCCGGACGACCCACCGCGAAGGGTTTCGCGTGCGAGGTCGCGCTCGATCCGTCCGCGACGCTTCACTGGACCGTCGGCCCGGCGCCCGCGACGGACGGCGTCGCGGCCGTCGCCGCCGACGACGTGTCGTTCGCCGTCGTCGCCGACGCCGCGAGCGGCGTCGTGGGGCTCTCGTTCCAGAGCGGCCCCGTCATGGTCCCCGCGCGCGCGGTGATGTCGACCGTCGACGCCGCGGGCGCCAACGCCGACGTCGCCGCGTACGCGCTGAACGGATACAACGCGGCGGGGGTCGCCGCGGACGCGACGTTCGCGCTGTCCTCCGCCGCGGTCGCCGTCGAGGCGGGCGTCACGACGCTCGCGTTCGTCGCCGCGAAGTCGACCGTCGGTCTCGAGCGATTCCGAGGCGCGTCTACCCTGCGCCGCGTGACTGGTCCCCATACGACCGCGTTCGCGCGGCGCGCGCCGTTCCTCGAGGATTCTCGCCGTCGTCTCTCCGCGTCCACCCCACGCTTTCAATCCCTACGCGCCTCGACGCCGCCTCGCGGCTCCGACTGACGCCCGTCGACGCCTCACGTCCGCCCCGACGTCGCCTCGGGCTTCGGTTTGGCGTCGTCGTCGTCGTCGTCGTGACTGGTTCCCATACGACCGCGTTCGCGTGGTGAACGCCGTTCCTTAAGGACTTCTCTCATAATCTTCTCATGATCATCGCCCTCAGACGCCGCGGGATACGTCGGTTGGTCGCTCGCCGCCGACCCGGATCGCTCGCGAGTGCACGACCGCGCGGGCGTCGCGCTGATCGATCTCAACTCGGGTGTGTCGTCGCCGGTGAACGCGCTCGGGCTCGACCGAGTGAAGACGCACGCCGCGCTGGAGGTAGTCGGCTTCGCGCTCATGCTGATCGGATCGCTCGCGGCGGCGCACAAGAAGCGAATGCCCGGAGGCGCGAGGGGCTCGCTGTGGATCCGCGCCCACCGCGCGGCGCAGCTCTCCGGTCTCGTCTTGGCCGCGGCGGGTATGATAGTCGTGGTGTCGCGAGAGGACGACGAGACGAGCGAGCCGTTCGACTGGGGGAAGGCGACGGCGACGGCGGCGTACAAGGCGCGTTTGTTTTTCACCCGCCGCGCGCTCGGTTTCAACAGTTTCAACGGTTTCAACAGTTTCAACAGTTTCAGCAGTGCAGTTTCAACATTCTGTTCGACCGCGCCCGCCCCTTTCCTCTCGTCGACTGACCGATGAACCGAACGAACGCATTCTCGCGCGGCCGGCGTCGCCCTCAGGCGCACGGCGCGCTCGGCGCCGCGCTCGGCGCCGCGGCGCTCCTCAACCCCGCGCTCGCGTATTTTCGCGAACCCCCCCAACCGAGCGCGAAGCCCAAGCCGAAGCGCCTCGCTCACGCGCTGCTGGGCTGGATCGTCGTCATCGGCGGCGGCGCGAACGTGGTCCTCGGGAGACACGCCGCGGCGGATTCAAAGTACGACGACGTCCTCGACGAGAACGTCTCGCTCGCGCAGGAGGCGGCGGGGTGGACGATCGCGGCGGTGGGCGTCGTCGGGCTCCTCGCGTCGATCTCTTCGCGCGGCGGCGGCGGCGGGCGGCGACGGTTCACGTCTAGCGACGGTTTGAATTCCAATTCCAATTCGGAGACGACGACCGCGTGGCCGTCGATGACGAAGGAGGACGTCGCGCGATGCGAGCTGTATTTCGACCACGTGCGCGACGACGGAGCCGGAGCCGGAGACGGAGACGTCCCGCGCGCGAGAGAGAGTCGCGTCGTGGAGTTTCTCATGAAGTCCGGCCTCCCGCTCGCGACGCTCCGAGACGTGTGGACGCACATAGAGGCGGAGACGGACGCGGACGGCGGCGTCGCCCGCATCGCGTTTTCCAAGGCGTTTTACCTCGCGGAGATCGCGACGAGAGGCGCGACGATACCGCCGCGGGAGGATCCGACGGATTCGAAGATCCCGTGGCCGCGCGTCCTCGCGGAGCTCGAATCTGACGAATCCGATCGCGACGAGCGATGGCCCGCTATGACCACCGAGGACGCGGCGCTCAAGATGCGCGCGTTCGACGCGTTGGCGCGTCGCGCCGGCTCCGGCACCGGCGACGCCGCGGCGACGCTCGAACCACGCGTCGCGAGAGACGTCTTCCTCGAGTCCGGCCTCCCCGAGAGCGTTCTCGCCGACGTCTACGACGCCGCGGACGAGGACGGAGACGGCGAGCTGTCGCTCTACGAGTTTTCGTGCGCGATGTACCTCGTCGAGCGCGCGACGAGAGGCTGCGCGCCGCCGCCGTCGGCGTCCGCGCTGCCCGTCGAGACCTTCGCGAGCGTGCGCTCGGCCATCGAACGAAGACGTTCCAAACCAAGAAGTTAATTCGACAAACGGGTACTGTACTGTACTCGTACGTGTACGGAAGTACTTTCGTACTTTTTAGTACCTCACGATAAGTTGTTACTCATATCATATGTATGACAGAGCAGTCCAAAGTAAGGTTACAGTACGTGTAGTTAAGGTCACGCTCCGCTAATTAAATTTCCCGTGCCAAAAGTACGAAATTGATACTGAATACGCATACAAATTGCAAAAACGTACTTTCGTACGCGCCCACGCGCCGTCGCTGCGCGGATTGATTTGAAACTTCGTCACGATGTTGTCCATCACGTCGCCGATGCCTTCTCAAAGTTTCGCGAGTTTTAGAGGCCTGGAAGGCGGTTTTCGGACCCTAAGGACCTTTTTTACGACTTGTTGGCGGGCCGCGGGGTGTCCTTTCATGCCCGTTAGGCCGCCGGCAGGGCCGGATGCGCACGCGCGCGGCGGCCCTGAAGTTAGTACCTATCGCGCCTATCGCGCCTATCGCGCCTATCGCGCCTATCGCGCCCGCGCGCCCCGCGCGTCGAAAACGCATCTCGTCGCCTCCGCGTCGCACCCCTCGTACAGCGCCCTCGTCGCGCCGTGCGACGCGTCTGGAAAACACGCGCACCGCATCCGCGTCCGCCCCGTTCCTCCCGGCGCGCGCGCGGGCTCGCGCGTCCTCTCCTCTCTCGGGTGCGACGCGCCGTCTTCGCACCACACCTCCGCGCGACCGTCTGACGAGGGCGATCGGATCGCCCGCGCGACGGGGCGGCGTTCGGGGGGCGCACGGGCGCACGTCAGACGGAGGCGTCGCGAGGCGGGCGGCAAAAGTCCTTAAGGAATGGCGTTCACCACGCCGACGCGGTCGTATGGGGACCAGTGTACGGCCGCGCGCGCGTCGGGATCGAAACCGAGGGGCGGCGAGCGGAGAGAAACGCGCGCGGACGGGAAGAGAAAGTCCGTCCTCGAGGAACGGCGTCCACCGCGCGAACGGGGTCGTACGGGGACTAGTGTGTTGAGACGGGACGCGCCCGAGCGCGTTTTCCTCGCACACGTCCGCCACAGCGCTTCTCTCGCGCTGTCGTCGCGCGCTCTTCCCTCGGCGCGATTCGCCGCGGCGTCGAAGGCGAGCTTGCGGCGCGTCTCGACGCCGTTCGCGTCGTAGTAGTGTCCTCCCGCGAGCACGCCGATCTCGCGGTACGCGTCTCTCTCTTCACTCCCCCCCTCGTAGAACTCGAGCCATCGCCGAACGCCCAGGATTTCGTCGTCGGAGAGGCCGTCCACGTCCGGGACGAGCCCGTCCTCGTCGAATCGCCCCGTCGCGAACGCGCGCGTGCCGTCGCGCCCGACGAAGCCGGCGTAGGGCATCCCGCGCGCGTAATGCCGCGCGCCGCCGCCTCGCGTCACGTCGAAGACGCGCCCGACGATCGCGAGCCAGAGCGACGGGTCGTCGACGCCGTTCCGCGTCGCGAGCTCGTCGGGCGTCACGAGGCGGGTCGCGGGAGTCGTCGTCGTCGTCGCCGCCGGCGCCGG